TACCTGGACTTGGCCGGAACGAGCCTAGTTTCTCGCGTGTGTGCTGGCGATGGGTCCTTAATCCTGTCCACGGTCCAGGCCACGCTTGTTGAGCAAATCAACGACTTCTTGGGCTTGCAAGCGACTGAATTTGACTTCAACTTCTTTCAGCCGGGCACTCTTTTGTGCTTGCTGTGCATTCTGCTGTGGAGCTTGTGCGTCTACAAGGACACCGGGTTTCACCTCCTAATAAACCAGTCTGGAATCCAAAAGCCGTGGTGGGTGTACCGTTTGCATGCCATGCCATTAGCTGAGCAGCTAGCCAGATCTAACTCACTTAAACATGTTTTAAACCCTCAAGCTGTGAGAGTCGAAAACCGAAACCCGTGACCCCAAACCCCAGCCAAAATTCACTCTCATTCCGCCCGGTTCCCGTTGTTGGTATGCCTGTCGACTTGGGGGAAGTGCTTATGACCTTGTGACGTGCACCACGTGAGAGTTGGGACTATTCCCTGCAGTGGAACCTGGTCAGCAGTGCGGGTGAGAAATTATTTTGGTAGTGTAAATAAGCTTTGACCCATTTGGGGTACTACTGTACAATCCCTATATCATCCCAAAGGCTACAGTTAGTTCCCTAAAACACTGGACCCTCAACCCTAAATAGTAAGGTAAGTTTCGAGAGGAGTTCAGAAAGATCTGGCATGCCTTGGAGGCAGCGACGACCATCCCCAAGGCCCGGCGTTTTGTCTAGGGTTAGTAGTTATGATGACGATGATAGTGACAATGGTGATGACGACAATTACAAGTTTGTTGTTATTGTTTTTATTGTTGTTATTGCTATTGTTACTACTGTTATTGTTATCAGTCCTGCTTTTATTCTTGCTCGTTGCCTAGGGCCTAGGGTCGTTCGTTGGAGGCCAGTGCGACGGACTTCCGCGACAACACGATTCACTGCCTGTCCTGGGGTCGTGCCCTGGCGCTGCTGATCACGTACATCATCCGAGCAGGCATCGCCTCCGTGCTGTTGGTTGCCGGAATCCTATGGCTTGCAAGGACAACGTCCATTGAGGAGCTGATGCTCAACTCGGTTGCATTGAACGCCATCTTGGATGTGGATGAGTTCCTCTTCGAGGGCATGACGCCTATCAAGATCCAGCACGCGATACGAAGTGTCGAGCCCATCAGTGTTAGCTACTCTCACCGGCGCAGCCAGGTGGAGTCATTCTTGCATTTCCTTGCAGTGTTGGTAACGGTGCTGGCTTCGTATTCGTTTCTGCTTGTACCTCTCTGCGAAACCATGATGGCTGTCAAGCGCGAGCTGTGCGATGGCCAGGCTGACTTTGTGGTCGCATACAGCACGGACACGCAGATCTCATGGGGCTTGTACACAGAGGACGTGGGTTTACATCTTACGGGGTTGGGTGATTCTGCAGGTTTCTGGCTCGATCTTAGTTCTTAATGCTTCCAACTTGGGCTTGGGTCCACTGGTGAGGACCTCGAGACAGTGCAAAACTCGTACGAGATATCGCCCATCGAGCGATCGGTGATGTCTCAAAAGGGTACGCCTTCAAGCCTGGAAAAGACCTGGCCTCGGACCATATGGTTTGCAAGCGACAGACGTTCTTTCGACACCGACGTTGACCGGTCGATTTCCAGTCTTGGGAACGTCTTTCCATTCTGCATGGAGACCACCATCTTACTGGAGACTGGGGAGCTGCATGGAGACGCTGCCTTGCAGCCGATCATTGAGAACGTTGTGCGAAACGCTGCGTCAGCACTTGGGCGACCAGATGCTACCACGTGTGCAGAGCTGGCGGACTTGTGCAGCATGTCAGATGCCCGACTCCTCCGAGTGGTCTGTGGTCAGACCTGCGGCTGCACGGAACTCCGAACTTCCCCTTGGTACCACGGTGGTTGGGACGAGCAGTTCTTTCATTGATCGTTTTTGTCCTTCTTCTGAAACATGAATCTGCTGTCGAATGCGGACAAGGGAGTAGGGTTCTCCACAATCGGATCAGAAGATGTTTGTGAAGTGGCATTGTGTAACCCACAGGCGATACTCCTATACGCTCGAAGCACCTAATGATAATGCCTGTCTCTAAAAGGGGTGTGGAACAATGATTGCAAAAGTCGTCGGTCGCGTCTCGTGCTGAGGCAGGCTAGCGGCCAACTCATAATTTGCACATCTGAATCAACTGGCTCAGGGTCCCCGACGCCTTGAGCAAACAAAGCCGGGCCGTAGCAGGGCACATGAAACTATAACAAAAGTACGTTAAAGTTGCCTAAATCCCTAGGATCCTGCAGGCAAAAAGGGTAATGAACAAAAACCCCAGCCCTACACCCTACCTCCGAAACACCGAAAACCTAAACCCTGTAAACCCGGAGTTGTGAGAGTCAAGAGACAGGGAGCTTCCTTACTTAGTCTCCATTTGGGTAGTTCTCTAAATGAGGGTCCCTTTTTAGGTCCCTAAAAGAGTACGGCACCCTTATAAAAAGAACCCTAAAAGGGACCCTAATTTAGAGAACTACCCATCTGGAGGCACAAGGTGGAGCACATGGGCTGCGCGAAGCCGTGCCTCGAAGAAGCCGAGGTGAAGCTTCAAAGCGCCTCCTGCGAGGATGATGTTACCTGGAAGTGGGTTTAGTAGAGGGTTTAGGGCAGTTTAGGGTTTAGGGCTTAGGGATGATGTTAGTTGGTATTAGTGGAGGGTCTAGGGCTTAGGGATGATGTTAATGACTGATGTTTAGTTAGTATTAGTAGTGAACTGAATGGAGGGTTTAGTGTCTAGAAATGATGTTACCTAGTATTCGTAGTGTGCTTCATGGAGGGCTTTTGGGGCCTAGAGATGATGTTACTCAGTTTTGAGTAATGATCTTAATGGATGGTTTAGGATCTCGGGTTTTGAGATGATGCTGCTTAGTGCGTCTAACGAGGGTCTATCTTTTAGAGTTTAGGTTTCGGGATGTATGAACTTTAAACATCTTGGGCAAGTATCTATGAGCCTATGAACTCCATACTCCAGAACAGAGGTTCTCAACGATGCTGGTTGGCAGGCATTCTGGCATGAGTATGACGATGCACTCATCGGGTTCTATGGACAGGGCGTCACTCAGACCCAGTTCTTCGGTTTCATAAATTCTACAGCCCAGGCCTTTCTGACTAACGGTTGCGCAGTCATGGAGACAATTCCGGTCGAGCTCTTGACGGGCGTCTCCTGGTGTGACGGCCAGCCGGAGCTGTTCCGCCCTTTAGCCTCCATGTGCCCAGTGCAGTGTGGCTGCAGAGATGGCCGCGGAGCAACTTTGCCCAGTGGTTTACCGAGCTACTGTCCGACTAGCTGCTCAAACAGCACGCCGTCTTAAAGTGTTTGACCTCGGGACGCATATCGAAAGAAGTTTCACTCCACATACTCGACACTACTTGCACTTGCAAGATTCTGCACATCTGCTGCAAACCAGGCCTCAAAGAGGCGCAGTCTTGGGGTTCAGGCATCCTGTGCAGTCGCGACCTGCCATGCTGCTTGCCCGAATACTGGGCGACAGGGTGCCATGACACTCGAACACACCCCTGGACGAAAATTGGATTCTGCTTGCTGCCAGTGATGCTTTCTTTCCCGCCCAGGCAACCGATGCTATCAACATCAGCCGCACTTTACCCTGCAGTTCCGAGATGCATAGTTTAGCAACAGACAACATAGTTTAGCATCCCACGACACCCGACAGGATTATTCCGTAGGGTGCAGTGTAACGACGTGCAGCGAAGTCGAGCGCGAGTGCTAAAAAATGTGTACTACCATGGCATGCAGCTTTTGCTAGAACAACTTGGATGCCATGAACAGGTACATGCGTGCATGTAGATGTGCATACACATACAAAGCTACATATGCACATACATGTATACATACATACATACATGCATACATACATACATACATACATACATACATACATACATACACACATGCATACATACCTGCTAAATCGCTTGGCTTGGCTTGGTTTGTTTTGAAACCTTTCAGCTCTCGAAAGCACCGCGTACGTATGTGCATACATGTATCTATGGATGTCCTGTCAGCTTGGCACAATACAGTTGCAGATATAGTATAAGAGCAATGCACCGTGAGATAATACAGAACAAGGAAAATGCTAGAAACAAGCATTCCCTGCTACTCCCAACCAAAGCAGTAACATAGATCCCCAAACCCTTTTTCTAATGAGAGTAAGCCAGGTGCTCTGGAAACGAATTGCCGCCTGAGTAGCGAGACGCACTTCGGGGAGATCCGAAGCGATGCCTTCCAACAGAGCTACGAATGACTCGTGAAAGGAATGTACGGTTTCTTTCGCTGAAGTCCTGTCACGGCATGGTGTGCTACAGAAGAATTCACACGTCGCTCGTTTGGTCTTCGAGGTGGGCAAAGCCCACCAGCGGTTCCCAGACATGAGACCTAGGATAGTGAGTTTTAGCGGTTGCACGGTCTACACTCTGGAGCCGGACATCACCAGGCGAGGCCTGGACCAAACAAAGTGGACCTTATCATCCACTAGTCGGCGCGAGATGCACTTGCACAAAAGTGGCTGATAAAAGTGTAAATGACATTGCAAATGTAGTTGCCATCGCCATTTCTTTAAATTCATCAGTTGCTGTTGTTGTTGTTGTTGTTGCTGCTGCTGCTGCTGTCGCTTTTGGTTTCGCTGCTACTACTACTACTACTACTACTACTACTACTCCTACTACTACTACTACTACTACTACTACTACTACTACTTACTACTACGTCTGCTACTACTGTTATTATTACTACGGGCACTATTACCACCACCACCACCACAACCACCCCCACCACCACCGCCACCGCCGCCACCGCCGCCGCCGCCACCACCACCACCACCGCCGCCACCACCACCACCACCACCACCACCACCACCACCACCACCACCACCAGTACGTGCTGCTGCTGCTGATGCTGTTGTCTTACTCCCCGTGCTTCCTTACTTTTGCGGCTATCATCACAATGCTTGTAGTGGCAGGATTAGCGTAGTAGTTAGTGGTAATGGTAGTCGTCGTCGTAGTAGCAGAAGTAGTCGTTGTCGTCGTCGTCGTCGTCATCGTAGTTTTAGTAGTAGTTGTAACTAGTACCAGTATTCGTACAAGTAGTACCACTACGAGTAGTAGTCTTTGCAGTACTAGCACTCGTTATGGCATGTTATAGCAATAGCAGTAGCAGTAGCAATGGCGTTGGGTTTGATAATGGGATTCAGTTTGTCAAGGTCCAGGCACTCGTAACAGCACTGAGAAAAGGAGCCACAAACCAAGCCCAAAGCCCATCTAAACCCTGTCATTTGCTCTGAACGAAGGGAGAGGCTCGGACCCGAGTTTCCGAGGTCGGACCGTCGACAGAGTGCATTGAACATGGTGCGGCCCTACAGCGCATGTCTGGCAACCATTCGTTGTAGCTAAACAGTGGTGCCGTTGCAGCAAGAATTCGGCGCTTGGTGATTGGGGCTTTCGGGACTGTTTCCAGGCTTTCTCAATGCGTACGACTCTTGCTCCGAAATTGAGGTTTCAGGCTTGGGTTTTTCCTGCGAGGGGCGCTGAAATCTCACTTGGCATCTGTGGGTTTTTGGAAATCACGGGCTATTCCCCAAAGAGTGGGGCGCAGTCCCGCTGTGGTGCGGTGCATACTTTGGGCTCATGTCATTATTTCAACATTCCCGCTCGGGCCCCGTACTACAGAAATCGTGATTTATTGTAGGTTCCAAGTCATTGCCTTCATTTTGGCTTCGGGATATTGAGGTCGGTGAGTACCCTAAACCCTAAACCCTAGAGGCTTGCTTGATACGGCATTTTGCTGACACGCACGGATGTGATGGAACTGAAACTCATCAAGACGATGAGAAAGCATGAAGGCATGACTATGCCAACCTTGAGTGGAATTCACTCCTCAACTTCTCGGACCCTACTTCGCGACTCGCTCAGCCATGTAGGAGGCAAAAACCCCTAAACCCTAGACCCTAAACCCAGTACAGGGGGAAGCATCTTAGCCGTGGTGTCCTTGTAGTCTCTCGATGCTTTCCTGGTGATCACCTGGTCTCCGGGTCTCCTGGGGGTCTCCTGATGATGTGGGTGTCAATAATAATAATAATAACAATATTAATAAAATTAATAATAATAATAACAACAATAATGATATTAATAATAACAAAAATAATATTAATGATAATAATAATATTAATAATAATAAAAATATCAATAATAATATCAATAATAATAATATTAAAAATATTATTAATAATAATAGTAATATTAGAATATGAGGTTGCTTGCTTACGCTTTGACCGCCTTGGATGGGCAGGTCTTGTACGAGCAGCTGCGAGAAGATTGCGGAGTGGAGAGCTTATCCAAGTTGCAGGGTTATCCTTCGCCGGCATGGCGTCAATGTGATAGTTGGAGCAGTCCCTGCTACAGTTTCATTACCAAGTCGCAGGCATCTGTACATCTTTACGCGCAGATGCTGACAGGCTTCAATCGTGGATACGTTAGGGTGCCCGTATGTGCCTATGGACCTGGTTTAGTTGCCCACCATGCTGCGAATCGTCCGAGGGCACTGCCCCGAAAGTTGCCGTGAAGAGACCCGCGCCCGCGGCGCTTGAAACTAGGCATAGGGGTGCTTCATCGCTATAAACCCTAAACCCTGAGCCCAAAATCCTAGACCGAGAACCCCTCAACCCTACTTGCCCTAAACTCAGAAAGCCCATCAAATGCGGGGCTGTCAGGTCACCATGATCTTCTGCGTCCATCCAGATCGGACGTTCGCCTCCGCAGCCCGCTCCACGCGTGGGCCCTGAGTCCTTTTAGAGATTTGCAAGAGTCGAAGCAGCAGGAATATGGGCTTTGGGCTTAGGAGCCTCATCATTCATCGGTTGCCTGATATGGATTCGCAAACTGCGTTGCTTTTCGAGGGAAGGATGCTTGTAGGTGGAGTTGTGGCCGAAGCCCGAGATCTACGAAATTGAGTCTTTTGTGCACAGTGCCGGGCCACAAATAGAGAGGTGAAGCTAAAATGACACCTTACTAGCACTAATTTGGTACGGTGTCTCGCCGCATCGTACTCCAGGGTTTGTCTTTCTGCAGTGCCGGGGAAGCAAGATTTTCATTCATGCCTGTTGTGCCTTTGCATGCTTTTGCACAGCCTCTTGGGGGAGGGATGCACAGAAGTCGTCTCGTAGGCAGGTAGCCAGAGGGTCGAGCTGTCTTTTTCGTCTCAAGCCTCAACCCTCCCAGCCGTTTTTAATGGGGCTGTAGGGTATACCATACCCTGGTTTTGGAGCTCATGCTGCACGGCATGTTCGATTCGAGCCTCTGGAACCGCCAGGGAGAGAGACAGAGAAAGCAACCCTAAACCCTAAACGGAAAAGGGGCGTGCACAAAACAAAAAACTCTAGCTAGGACGAGCCCGCATAGGTGGGATGCTAAAAGGCACGGTGTCTGTGCAGTCGCGCAAGAGTTTTCCATCAAGCCCATCCGGTTCGCCAGATTGATTCGTTGTTCCAAGTTCGGGACTTCTCCGCCATGAGATCCAGAATCTGGCCACCTGCAATGTGAAGGAGGTAGCATGTGCTTCGTCCGTACGCACATTTGGCTCATTGCATGCATAGAGCGGGGAAGCTATGGCGGATGCGCTGGCAGGCGCAACCGTGATCTGAAGTCCAGAGTTTGGTGGTGAGCAAAAGACACCAGTGTACCGAGTGTACGTCTTTGAGACTCGGTGTTTCCACTTCATGCAGTCATGCTTCATCGCTACAGGAGGATGATGTGAGCGTAAGTCTGAGACCGTCTTGAGGATCATGTCTTGAGGCCCCGTCCTTGTCTAAGTGTTGTACACCGAGAAGTTCTACCTCTTCTGCAGAGAGTTGACACCCTAAACTTGTCGCCACATGCCTCGCCAGGATTGTCCGAGCGTGTGCGCTGAAACTTGTTGGGCTCAAGCTATTTGGCTTGGACATACCATTGCCACCCCAAATTCCGTTACATATCTGCAGCAAGGCGCCCGAACTGTGCAAGCAGTCTCCTGCGCCTGATCTTCGACTCTCCAAGAAACTCGCCTCTCCAAGAAACTACCGGACATGTTTGCGAATCCATCTACACTCTCTTCCTTCGCGCAGGAGTTCCAGCCAAGTGGAGCTGCTCCTGTGCAATCCATGCAGAATCCATACTATTCGTCCTCGGGCACATACGGCCAGTACCGTGGCCAGGAGCAGATGCAGCAAGGCGCAATGGGCAGCTACTACACGAACACTGGGTATGGCTACGACTGCTACCAGAATGTGGCCTACCGCAGCGCAGCCTTCACCGGTGACGGCTACAACCAGGGCTACTATGGAAATGGCCAGTACACCAACACCAATCTTGGCCACTACTCCAAGAGCACCTACAACAGGGAAAACCGCAACCCTCGTGCAGCCGCAATCAACCTCGATGACTTCTCTGATATCTCCGATTCAGATTCTGACGCAGACATCCCCAGCAAAATCCCTGCGCCAGACAAGAAGGTGCCGGATGCCCTGGAGACCTCCAGCGATGCCTCTGAGGATGCTGAGCCGGCAGAGGAGCCCTCACCGTGCGCTGCCGATGAAGCTTCGGGTTTGCTGGAGGAGAAGACTTCCACCCCTCAACCCCCAAACTCAATACCCTACACTCCGCAATGCAATTTTCATATGGCCCCATATTGCTTCTAAGAAGCCTTACAGTACCTGTACAGAAAACCCGTCTAGAACTCCCTGATGCCATCCTCTTGTGAAGAGGACGCCACCTCAGACACAGAGCCCTCACTCAGCTCTACTTCTTCCGAGCCGGAAGCCGAAGAGCTTGGGATGAGCGAAGCAGAGCCGGAGACCGTCTTCAGCCTGAAGCAGATGCTGATGTGGCGTGACGCCGTCTTGAAGTCGGAGAAGCCACTGATCCTCTACCGCACCCAGGTCGTTGAAGAGAAAACTCCTCTGGTGGAGCCGGTGCCCGTGACCAAGACTCCCAAGGGCAAGGCGAAGGCGAAGGCGCAGGCGGCGCAGGCCCAGGTCTCCAAGGGCAAGGCTGGAAAGCTGGAAGTCTCTGAGAATTCCTGGACCGCCCAGCAGCGCAAGCTCAAGTCGGAGGCGTCCCATGTCGACGGCTGTGAGCAAGTGGCCCGTACCATCAAGTCCATCTTGAACAAGTTGACCCTCGAGAAGTTTGCGAGCCTCTCCCAGCAACTTCTGCAATGCGGCCTTCGTACATCCACGCACGTCGAGGTGTTGATCCACGAGGTCTTCGAGAAGGCAACGACGCAGCACCATTTCATCGACATGTACGCCGATCTTTGCGTGCTGCTGCACGAGCACTTTACTGCACACCCCTTCGAGGATTGCTCTGGCAAGGCAGATGTGCGTAAGATGACTTTCAAGAGACTGCTGCTGGATGAGTGCCAGCTGTCTTTCGAGCGCCTGCTGTCGCCACCTGAAGGCCTCGAGCTCCTTGCGGCAGAGGAGCGCACGGTGGTCGAGGTCCGCTACAAGACGAGCATGCTGGGCAACATCCGCCTCGTCGGTGGCCTCCTCTCACGCGGCATGCTCGCCTGCAGAGTCGGCATCGCCATCCTGGAGGAGCTGCTGTCGAATCCTACTCCGGAGGCCCTGGAGTCCATCGCCGCCATGCTGACGGTGCTGGGCCCAACAGCCGACAACAAGGACTGGCCACAGTACAAGGCCTTGAACGCGGTCTTCGATCAGATCTCCACCATCGTGAAAGCCAAGAAATGCCCTGCTCGCGAGCGCTTCCTCCTGAAGGATCTCTTGGACCTTCGGAGTGCTCGCTGGGTGGACAAGCGGCCGAAGAAGATCGAGCGGGCAATGACTCTGGCCCAGGTGGCTGACAGCGCCGCTGGCCGCAAAGTGCAGGAGCGCCTGATTCGCAAAGTGGCCTCCACGCCTGTTCCGGTCCCGGCATTCCCGGCCTACGAACAGGAGAAGTTCCGCGAGGGCGCCAAGAAGGCATTGGTCGAGCTGCGGCACAGCGGATGTTTGGAGGAGGCCGTGAATAGGATGAAGGCCGAGGCTCTAGGAGTGCCACCAGAGAAGGATCAGGCCGCGGAGGTTTCTGAGATCCTTTGCTTTGCTGTGCAGGAGGCTGCGGCCTCTGTGCGTGAGTTGGATCTCAAGGCTCTGCGTGCTGTTGTGGAGAGCTGGAAGAAGGATGTGCTGGCACAGGGTGCTGGACTCTTCGTCAAGGACATCGCTCCCGACTTGGCTTTTGATGTCCCCGGCTTGAACAAGATCCTGTCGGAGGAGGTGTGCGTGCTGCTTCCCGAGGCAGCAGATGCTGTGAACATCTTCCTGGGTTGAGGGCCGGTGAGCTTGCTCGACATCGCTTGGAAGCTGCATGAATAATCGGCTTGCTGTTCAACAGCAGCCGATCCTTTCCGTTTCTTTTCGCCTCAGATGCTCGCAGCCCACCTTCCTGTCAATCGCCTTCCTGCTTAGCCCGATGTCCGGTTCGGGCGGGTGGGGAGGTGATCGGATGCTCTGCACATAAAAAGCCTTAGAGGTCTGAAGAAAGGTCCCGCAGCAGTTCAGGAAGATGCTGGCTGAACTGAGCGCTGTGTTTCGATTGATTTGTAGAACACTGTCTAGTTACCTTGTTACTCGCCACCTTTGGCAGAAGTTTTGTGCCAACGGGAGTCTAGTTATGAAGCAGGGCTCGGCATGCATTGAACAGGATCTGCTTGTGCAGCTGATGCCATGGGCCACCTTGGTGGTCGATGGCACGGTTGTCGAAGGTTCACAATTCATCTGTGGAAATTGGGTCAGCTAGGGCTGAGCCTCCTTCGCACTGTTCAGAAGTCGACCCAAGTGACAGGAACTCAAAAACCCACCAGACAGGTTTTAACGTCAGCCGACCTTTCTTTTGCGGCCATCATAGCAAGTACCTCTGGTGCAGGTCAATTTGGGATCCTGGCATGCTGCTGCTAGATGGTTCCATCCTCCACTGACGACGAGTCTTTGAAAACGAGTATATAGTAGGATATAAATATAAGTACCCCAAAGTATCCCTGGGCATGTTGGTGCCGCAGGGCATGGAGGATGGGTGCTTCTGGCCACTAGACATGAAACCTGCCTGCTGACTGTCGTGTTGAGGCTTTGCCCATGAACGCACAGGATTCAAGGAATAGGAAGCATTTTCCAGAGCTTGTAACTGCGTCGCCGGGTTTGGATCTGGCAACGGGGAAAGCCTACAGCACCGGCTGGAGAAATGACTGGGTCCTTGTGGGGTCCCCACTCAAGCAAGAGATCGTTCCAGAATTTGGGAGATGTCTTGTGATGCTGTGGTGTGGCTTACTCGCCTGTAAGCTTGAGCAGGGTCCCTCAGCAGCCCAGATAAAGGCCAATGAAGCAGGTTCTCCCGGCAGTCTGCCTTGAAGCTTCCGCCTCTTCTGGGAGCCCGACTGGTGCAGAAAAGCAAGCGGACAGAGAGCATGGATGTGCACGGTCACGCCGCAGGTGATGCACACCTGCGAATAGTCAAACCTCATCCGGCTCGCCGCTGCTGAGGGCTCTGCAAACCGAAAAGCCCCCAAGGGCTCTGAGCCCCCAAACTCCAAAATGCTCCCCTAAACCCTAAACCCTAAACCCTAAACCCTGGAGCTCCGAGCTCCGAGTCCAAACGACTCGCGGCCAGGCCGGGACCTGCCAGGGACGCCGAGCTCCGGTGCTGGGGATGTGGTGACGCTTGCCTGCGCGGGTACTTACGGGTTTAAGCCGTTTAGGCTTGGGCAGGGTTTTTGGGACTTCGGGAAGGTGCATGCTGGAGGCTTAGCCGGTGCTGCGAAGCTACAGCGGAGGGAGAGCTTCCGATTTTGAGATGCGACCCTCCGGCTGGACATCCTGTCTCACCCTAAACCCTACACCGTAAATGCAGAAACTGCCAAAATGCAGAAACTCTTGTCCGAGTGTGAGCGCCGAAACCCTTACACCTGCACCAAGAAGGGGTGCGAACCACACTCTGTTGTTTAGGAACTGCAACGGAAGTCTGCGAACCACAACAGGTATCTAATCAGTCAGTGACAGTCAGTGAGTGAGTGCTTGTATTTTGTATCTCC